ATGACATCATCAATGTCCCTGGATCCTCAATTGCCTTTTTCATGCTTTTAAAAAAAATACTAAATAGGTATTTTTAGTTTAGAGGCTGATAGATTGAATGAAGTTAAATGTTTTGATATTATGTAGCAATTGAAAAGGTATCAGTGTGATTGAGTAAAAATAGAATGTGAAGAAAAACCTTGACACATGCTTTATCCCAACTGGTGGATCTCTAGATAGAGAGGTGAAAGTTGATTGTGGTAAGAGAGTAGTTTTACTGCTAAGTCTTCTCTTTACTTGGGACTCTATATTCATTCAACAATGCCACTAGTCAACTACTATCTCTCCCACATGCTTACTCACGATCTAACAACTCCCAGTTCCAGTATAATATTCTGGCAGTTGCTGGATTACACTCCAAGTGATAACACCCACTTATTTTCAAATTATTCTACTACTGCTTCTTGCTGAAATAACTACTGTTAGTGGTTGTGATTGGTTTTAATGATTGGCCATTTATTTTAATGGTGAGCTGAAATAATTTTTTTATTGATAATATTTTGCTTCAGATTTTGTAAGAAAATTTTATTAATTTGCTTCAGAAATTTTTAATACCACTATTTTTTGAATAGTTTGAAATTTTTATTTGTCTTAGAGCGAGTTAAATTTAAGAAAAAGTGTTATTTACATAGAAGGAGAATAGGTTCTTTGTTTTTATATAAACTGCGTAATATTTGACCTTTAAATTGTAATTATTAACAGTCATTCTACTTCTTCATCACAAAAATCTAAGTATAACTATAGAAGTTGTGAAACTGATTATTAATAAATGAAACCACTCCCAAAATATACTTCTAATAACATAATGAAAGTAAATAAATAATTTCATCAAATTAGTTCATTTGATATACTTCTAAATTATAAAATCTTCAAGTTCTGTCAATTTTTTGAAATAAATATTCTTAGCACTGTCAAAAAAATTTTCAGTCTTTTGTTTGGAAAAAAATAGCTTTTGTAAAGAATAATAAGTAGTTAACATTTATCAGAAAGTAATTTCGCGTATTGTATTGGTTGAATCATCAATCTTGGCGTTTACTGACCTGCCGCGACGAAGAGTTACGACATATAACGGACATAGCACGTGCTTAATGTTTTACAATCGATTCTGTCCGCTTTGATACGTTACCTTCATGTGTGTAAAGATGCATTTAACGATTGGCAAATGAAAATAGAATTACGGAGGTACTTATATAGCTGAAAGCTAAACTTAATACCAAGTTTTATTCAATACATAAATGACATATCGCTAATAAATGTACATTCAAATGAATGCACAAAGAAAACGTAAGTATATTTCTAGTTAATAACAAAACGTGAGTGAATGTATTTTGTCCAAGTGCCGGTAGATACTTTGGCAAACACATTCGCGACATTTTCGTTTCATTCACACGCTCGAGTTCTATTTGTAGAGACTCTAATTTACGGAAACATAAGAATATCATTGAAGAGAATACCATTTGATTCATTTAATACTACTGTTCATTAACAAATTGATTTTGTTTTTGACTAATTACATTAAGTAACGTATATACAAGATTAAAATGTTAAGGTCTAAGTTAATTTCATGCGTTATTCCAACCTTGTTGTATTACAGATATAAATCACATATGTTTTTTATGAGCTGGTAATTATATGTGATCCTTACGTCATAAACAGTTTTCTCTTGAAAATAATTGATTGCTCATTAAATGATATAATCAAGCAATTATTATACACTTTTTATATCAATACTTTTAGACACAATTTTCTTGATGAATGAAAATATTTTAGTTAATCTCAATATTATCATCTTTTACAAAAATATTTGTACAGATATATTCAGTAGAAAAATTATTTACTGGAATTTCTTTTTTTTTGGAAATCGCATGTTTTATAGAAATGTAAAGTTTCATCAAGTTAGTGGATGAGGAAATAAGAAAATAAACAAATCGTTTTTTTACAGTTGATTTGATTGCCAGTTTAATAACCTGTGTTCTAAATTTATGATTTTCATCCGCAACATCTGTTTTTTATATATAAGATATTTTTTATTTTCTCATATGCGAAAATGAACTTCACTAAATAACTTCTCCACTATTTTTCTTCATTTAAAATTTTTTATTTTTATCGTTAGTATTTTTTTCTATCGTCGTAAACGTTATACCGTCTTTAAAATTCTTCCTGTAACATTACCACAACGGTCGCTGAACGTCATGATCTACGGAGCGAATCGTGTAACGCAACGATTCACACAATAAACTTAAAGAACTTGTACCTGTACCGGTAAATACATTCAACAAAAGATAAGAAAGAATAAGAAAGAGTAAAAAAAGAAAAAGACACCATTTGTGGTTTAAAACCAACCACATTGCGTGTATCTAGACAATTAACTTAAGCGAATCTTCTCGAATGCTGTCTTTTCATTTTTTCTTTTCCGGAAGAAAGTGCTTTACAAATCATTTATAATCTCGAATATTTCAAAGAGTTTGTCGAACAAATTTTGAAAAAGATCCAGAATTATTTCCGTTTAATTTTAAAAGCTTCTTTCCATCAATCAAAAACAATCTAAAAACAACTCTTTGAAGAAATAATAATAATGTATATGAAACTAAATGCGTTATTTTTTCCGCATTTTGTTGAGGTCTATACTCTATATCATTTTTTTTTCATCATGTCAACAAGATATTAGATTTCTTAGTAAATCAAAAAAATGTGATCTTATTATAACTACAGATGCAAAAATTGACATGGAACATATATTAAATAGACAAAGAGTTCGGTTGTTGTGACGTAGAAAGCAACTAATAAACGATGTAAATTAATCAGAAGATTGCTGAAGAATCTTGTGTCCCAGCATAATAAGTTTGCCAAGTTCTTTGGCCAGGCGTTTCAACATACAGGACACGAGATAATTCGTTGTTTCCGTTTTAAATTTCACATATTTAACACGAAAGTTATTCTTTGTTCCCAACTTTTGACGTTTATCATTCTGATACTCAAACAATCTTAGCAATAAAGTAGAGGTTAGTCAGCAAAAGAGTTTGATTTCTTGCAGTTGGAAAAAAAATTGCATCCACGTGGCAATGACCTAGAATTTCTTATCGTTCAGTGTCTCATGTTTTTATGAAGCGCAACAAATAGCGCATGAATGAGAAGTAGGGTGATTTTATTATGATAGATATACAGGAAATGATAAATAAAAATTAATATTCCAGTTAGCCATCATTCGGGCCTAGGTCACGGGCGTTAGATTTGGTCTGTGTTTGTCTCTTGGTGGGTCCTCAAACGTTTGTGCGGGCTTGTTAGTTCACAAGAAGGCCAGTGGCCGCGCTAGTGCTCACTATAAATAATCACAGCACGGGTGATGTCCAAGTATAGACCTTTGGGTGGTTGCCAGATGAGCGAGGAGGCTTCAGCTATTTTCTGACTCCTGTCGCCGGTAAAGGTACAGAACGATGGACACTCCAATCAAAACCTCCTGACGTTCAACAAGATCCTCGAAGAAGAGAATTGTAGAAGAAAAAAAAAATACACTTTTATTTCCTCAATTCCTTTCTTGTTACTGTCGTCAACTTCTCATGACCTTGGAGATTTAAAGACCTTGATGTCAGTTAAAAAAAAAAATGAATGAGATTTGTTTGTTTATTTAGGCGAACAAATTTGTACAAGTCATTTTAGAAGCTTATGGCTTTAGAAATCACTGGATAAACATTTTTTCTTTGGTGATGATCATTGGAATGGGTTTTTAAAAGTGGTATTTTAATGATTCGAGAATTAAATCGTAGTTTAATACGTAGCATGCCGTACATGAATACGTAATGTAGCAAGTACGAAGACTGATGATGGATTTAAGCGGCACGAATGGGTCACGGTGAATCGTCTCGCGATTCTTGCCGTCAAATACTTGGCGAGTAATGGCGCTTAGTAGAGGACATGTTTTTGCAATTAATTTTAGCTTGAAAAATAATCAACTTTTTACATCGCGATCTACTGTATAATTTAACTATAAAATAATTTGTCTAATTATAATGGTGTCAACACCATCAAGAAGTGACGGAAAAATCTTCGCTAATCGTCAGAGAAGAAAACTGAATAATTTTTTATGTAATTTAAAAAATATCAATAAACTTTGTATTTTTTAATTAATTATTCATAGAAAATGAATGATAATCAAATGGTTGAGATCTAGAAAAATCTTATTTGAATTCAAATTCCGCGCCACTGGAGAGCGATAACGTCAATACATGCGTAGAATCGATGCGCAATAATTTTTTACCTATATCACCTTGTCGTCAACTCGCGATATTTCTCCAAAATATTCTAGAAATATACAGTATATTCTATCCGCAATAATTTTAACAAATTCCTAAATATTAAAGAAAATTGGATGTTTGAATTTTTGTAACACTGATAAGAATTTTTTTTATTGTTTTGTCACTAAAGAGTGGTTCTGGAGTTATCATATATGCAGTATATGCGTCAAAGGGCGCTGCCTTAGTCACGACAGGTCAGTCTGTGTCGAGGCGTGTGTTGATGAAAAGTGGGTGAGGTTCGTATTTAATTTATCACAAATTTGACCTTATAAGTAGTTAGGAAATCAACACTTGCTAATATCCAAGCATAAGATCAAGGTTTTAATTAATCAAATGGTAGGACAAATAATTGTAGCACGCGATAATCAATCATAAAATCATAAAGACGCGTATCGGCTTCTTCCGTTGGCTCTTGCCAATTTGGCAGACTGCTTGTCAATGAAAATCGATCCGGAATTAAAGGGGTCAGGGGTTATGGGCTAGCTTAGATCATTGTCTAAACTATTGTCACATCGTTTTAAGATTTGCCAGTTGATTGCCAGCTACCGTAGGCTTTTTTCCATGCTGATCTATTATTTTATCATTATTTCATACATTGATTAAGTTTAAACCTCAATAGATTTTAATCTCGATTTAATTTGGTGTTGATTATCTATTTTTGTTTACTAGACTTCGGCGTCACATAAAACAACAACAATGACAACAGCAGCAAAGCTGTATGGCAAAGATCTCAGTGAATATGATGACGTTGATGTGGATGAACTTTTGTCACAACTGACAGATGAGGAAATTAATATTTTAGCAAAGGAGGTTGACCCTGATGTAAGTTAATTATCTTTCATATTATTTAATTTGAACAAAAAATCATTAGGAAATGAAGTGATTAAATAATTTCATTCTAATTCTATAAATATTTTGAAACATTTTTAAATATTATTGATTAATATTCTGTTAGAGTAAATACGTTAGACTGTGATGCTTATTTACCAAGTTGTCCATTACGCAAGCTAACAAGATTAATGGTTACATTTTGAGATTATGATAATATTGGCAATTATGTTATTTAGGATAGTTTTATGCCACCATCGCAAAGATGCAGTTATGAGTGCAATAAGAGTCCAACGGGGCCATTGAACCGTAAGAAGCTGATTGAACACATTAATAAACAAGCTCTTGAAACTCCAGATATTCCTGAACTGAAACCTTACGTACCTGGAGTAATTAGAGGCAAAAAAGTAAGTGAATAATATCAAATATCCAGGGTGATCCAGAATTATGTATAAAGATTTTACCCTGTGTATATTATTAACCATTTTCGTGTTAAATATTTTTATTTTCAATTTTTTTTAATGTAGTGGGTTCCACCTCCTCAAGACAACATCAAAGAAAAAGAAGCAGAAGAACAAATTTCTATAGATTTAGGCGAAGAATATGAACAAGCTTTATCTACGGCCACTCAAGATGAAATTATTGACTTGGCAGGTAAAGAGACTTCAAGATTGTTTGTTCTAATCACTTTTTTAGATAAGAAAAAGATTAGATTTATATTTAATGATCATTTGTACTAGTTGTTATATCTATTGAATCATAATTTTTTTTAGTTTTATGTTCTATAAAATGTTAAAAAGAGCATTTAAAATTTATTTTTAATTTTTTGTTAATATTGATTCTCTAATAATTCTTGTGTGTTGATTACGGTTCCTCATTCATAATCATTAGTACATAAAAATAATCATCATTTATTTATTACTTTTTGTTATAAATTAAGAATCAAACTTTAATTAAGTGGCCTTGTTAGATTATGTAATTAATGATGGCATATTGCTATGTATTTGCAGCTATTCTTGGATTCCACTCGATGATGAATCAAGATCAGTATCATGCATCACTCTTAAACTCTGGTCAGCCTGTTGGTCTCGGTTGGGATGGAATCACCAAAGCAAGTCAACCTAAGGCTTATCCTATGGAACCACCTAATGATACAGATGTTGATGCCTCTATCAAACAAGTTCGTGAGGATGATCATACACTTATTGACCTCAACCTAAATAACATCAAAGTGAGCTCGTAATAAATTTAAATTGATAATAATTTGATTTAAAATTCATAATTGTATATAATTATGAGTAGACAATCATAGCAAGTTTTGCTAAACCTAATATTTTGATAGAGAAATTAATTAATTTATTTTTCCCTTACACAGAATATATCTGATGAACAATTCAACAAATTATTTGAAGCCCTAGAGCAAAATACACATTTGGAATCGTTGAGTTTAACTAATGTAGGTTTAACTGATAAAACAGCGCAGAGGTTGGCTGAAGCAATGGAGAAAAATTCAACACTGCGTATTTTAAAGTAAATATATATATTTTTTTTTACAAATGAATTGAAAAATTTTAACAATTTTATTAATTTTTAATTTATGTCTATAATTGATATATTAAACGATGATTAATATAATAAAAATTTTTTTTTCAGTGTTGAAACAAACTTTATCAGTCCCCCTGTAATGGTGAGACTTATCAGAGCTCTATTAAAGACAAAATCAATTGAAGAATTCCGATGCTCGAATCAGGTAAGATTATTATCTCTACAAGTCGATTACATCACCTTAATAGGAATGACAACAACGTTCATAATATAATAAAAAAATGTTTTATACAGAGATCACAAGTTTTGGGTAACAAGATTGAAATGGAAATAACACAATTGGTGGAACAAAATCCTACTCTTCTACGATTAGGTCTTCATCTCGAGTTTAATGACGCAAGACATCGTGTTGCAGCACACCTGCAGCGTAATATCGATAGGAGTAAGCATTATCATGTTTTTCATCATCTCATCGTGTAATTTTTTTCTTATCAAAATAGGAAATATCAGATCAACTTATATGATAAATATTACACTTATTCAATTATATAACAACGACATTTAAGACATTCAGGACGCTACTGACATGACTGAATTATTTATTTTATGAGCTTTTTCCGCAGTTCATTTTAGCTTGCTGCAAAAAATACTCTAGACTATATAATTATTTTTTAATTAATTATTGATTGTCGCTTTTAGAAGTTTTTCTATTATTTATTATAGCTTATATTTATTAATTTATTGATTGGGTATTTTTTCAAAAGCATTATTTTTCCCTAGATGGAAGCCAATGTATGGGAGATTATGGGGAATACAAATACAAATACTTCTAAGTCTTCATTATTCACTTCGTAGTCTATCATAGAGCTTTAAACTAGCCAATTCATCATTTCATCAAAACTTTTTTTTTCATCTTAGCTTTATTTACTTTTTTTATTTTTGCTAGCGGTATTGAGGTAATTACTTGCTTAATTAATTCTGCAGTGTTTTTTATTTTCATTCCCTGGTTGATGTCACTCATTTTTATTCATTAATTTTATTTTATTTCCTCATATAATAAAGTGATTATCGTGTGTGGCCTTTTTTTTATATTATTTCAATATTCATTGATAGATTTTTTTATCAATGTATAATATATTTTATTGAGGATTTGATTTGCAAAAATAATTTGTCAATGTTTGTTCACACAGTCTGTCGTGTGGAAGCTTTGGAACGTGCAAAGATTGTAGCAATAGGTTCGGGTCCTGCAGGATTTACTGTAATCCAAATAGAAGATAAAAAAGAAACAATTTAGCGCTCTTTTATTTATAGCGCAGTGAGTAATCAATGTATTCGATTTTTTTTATGTATCTAAAATCGTTTGAAACAATCATAAAGCTTGACAAAAATCCCCATTTGTTTTTTTCTTTCAAATATTTGTTTTACTTCAAGACTAAGTAAATGTTATCATGAAATTTTATTCCTTTATAAAATAAACAAATGAAGTATTTGGGACCCAAACCGAATAGCACGAGATATTTTTCGCATGTTTTTTATGTTATTTATGATTTCAATGTAAAAAAACCAGACTACATATAACGACAGAAATAAGACGAATTTTTAAAAATTATTTTTTGTTTTATAGCGACAGTTAAAAAATTTAATGATATTATAATGGACTTTTGATTTATTGATGTAGAGAAATTAAACAAATATTGTTTTTCCAACAGTACGGAAAGATCTTGCGTTGCGGCTAAAGTCTCGATTCTTTCAAATGAATCACAGGAAACCCGCTCTAATTAAGTGAAGGTAGACAGGGTTTGCGATTATTAATACCAAGCAACAATTAATTTCAAATTACTTCAGCATTTAAATAATTTGAGCATTTTAGAGTGTTTGACATGCTATTAACCACAATTCAGCTTATCTCTCGTCTATTTTATTCTAAATAAAACAATTAACACATGCGTCTGTGCTAAATTATAAAATTAATTAACGAAAAATACGTAAATTTAAATTACTCAATTTAAATAAAATTTTCTCTTTTTTTATATTTAATTGAATTTTAAAAATTCATGGTCTGATGACCTTATTAATATTTACATGATTTTTCTGATAATTGTTGAACCACATTATAAAGTACTCGATGTAAAAAAATTGTAATAATGATAATTGAGTTTTATTTCGTACATTGAATGTAATCCGGAGCTTCTATTCTCATCAGGGGATTTTCATGATGTTCTTCTCCCAAAGCTCAGCTCGTTAATTTCGCGAAACCCCGTCAAGCACGGATGAAGACATGACGCGTTAATTTACACGCGAACCGACACCCTACTGCGCTTCCATTTCTACCCCTCAACTGCAACCCTGGAGACCTTATAATGAACGTCCATCGCGTGACGCTGTTTCGACGTAAACGTCAACCGTCTGACAAGTTGACGTAGCCCTCAATTGTTCATTTTACACTCTAATTTTTAAAGTAAAAACTTTAGACGCATTCCGCACGGAAAATTTTGCGAGGTGTGAATAGAATTGGAGTGCCACATTCCGAAATTGTTTTTTTCTCTTTTTTAGAATCCATAATTTTTTTGATGCACTAGGTTTTATTGATACATCATTTAATTTTAACAAATTATAAACATAATTGAATCAATTGAACGTGAGGACTTTATTAACAAATTAGTTTTTCACTTCTCATTCGTATAATAAATTTGCATAATTTTGCATTCTCCATTGACTGAAATGAATTTTAACTTCATCAAAAATTTTCAGATTTTTCTAACTAACCAATGTATATTAATAATAATTAATTAACACTCAATCAAAATGCACAGACCAATGAATAAAACATACCTTTGAGAATGGGATGTTATTACAATTTTTCGTTCAGTTCAAATAAATAAAAATTCTACATAACATTGGTCTGTTCATTTAAATCAATATTTTCAATAAAATTAATATATTTATTCAAGCATGTCAATTAAATAAAAAAAAAAAATTCTTTATTAATTTAAAAATGACTTAAATGATCTGAAGAACGAAATTCGAATAACTTTGTGGTTAAATTGGTATTTACTTGTTAATTAATAATTATAACAAATAATTGAATTGTGTTTTGACGTTGATGATTAGACAATAAGCTAACAAGGTTAATGAATACTCGGATGTCTGTTTCAGTACGGCAATCTCGTCTCGGGGTCGCGACATCTTCATCTGACGTCCGCATGTCTAGGTAAGCAACATACAATACAAACATACAATATAGAGGATTATGTTATCACGTCAAACTGTGTGAATTAACTGACGTTTGTCATGCAAGGAATTAACACATTTTTACTACCCCCTATCTTTATGTTGAAGCTAACACCCAAAAGGCTTTAAAAATGTATTAAAACATCCTTAAAAAATATATATGTGATTAAACCATTAAAAAACAAGGGCATAAAAGAAAAAGAAGGGATGAATGACCTTTATATTCTTCTGTTTATCTCGCGCGTGCTCAAAATCTTATGGAGTTGGTATTATCGTCAAATCTCGACATGATATGTTTCTAGGTTCAAATTACTTGCATGCAAGTAATATTGTGATTAAACTTTGCGACAAAATCGTGTAATTGAAGAAAAAAAGTCCGTAATTTTTTTTTTCTGGACTAAATAATTTAGAGTAAACCAAGAAAGATCAGATTTTTATCTCATAATTTTCTATAAATAATCTTAAAAATACTCTAATCTATAATATTTATTTTCAAATACTCTATAAAGTTTAAAATAGTACCAAATTTTCATATTTTTTTGATAATAATTTTATATACTAATTTTTTCAAAATCGTCGAGATATACGTAAATTACAGAAAAAATGTTTTTTAATAATCAAAATTCATAAAGATATATATCATTGTCCCAACTATCAATTATTTGAATAAAACATTTCGACATTCACATGGATACCATTGTTTTTTCATCTATTTCTTTTGTAAACATTCCCTTTTTTCACGAATAGTTAAAATGAGAAAGTATTTCTTTGTGGGTATTCAAAAAAAATATTTTTTTTTAGTTGAAATTGAATTTTTTTCAATGTACTTTCGAACGTATATTTTGATTAGTTTTTTCAATTTACAAAACATTGGAAAAAGTTTTAAACACTTTTTTTCATGCGTGAAATCAAAAATTTTCAAGTAAATAGATAAATAAATTGTTACAATTTATTGTAATTATTTTAGAAATAATTTATTCTCTGTGAAATGAAATTGACTTAAACTCCATGGAATAGTTAGATACTGTTATTTCTGTTTCACTGACAGTGCTAATATTATTTAAAGATGCTTGGCATGTTACTTTTAATTACACTCTACGTAAAGAGTATCATTAAATAATATTAATATTCTACAATTGTTATTGTTTCACTTTAATAAAACGTAACATTAGAGAATACTTGCAATATTGACAGTGAAAGTTACTATATACAATAAAAAAAGCCGTATCGATCAAGGTATTGAATACAAATGGATTCATTTGCAACTCAGAACGGAAGCCAGACAAATAGACTGTAAAACCACGCTTCTAAGTTGCTTATGTACTACTTCCACCCTTGCAAGTCTGCCTCAAGTCTCGGTCTTCCTAGTATTTCTGTTCTGTTTTCACCTACGCAATACATCTCTAGTGGTTTTAGTGATCGGTAATCTTCTTGAATTGGGTTAACAGATCGATGAAATGGCAAACTGTAGTATGGGCAAAAGCCGCTTTTCTCGTGAAGGTAGAACGGATCTATGGAAATGGAAATTGAATTCGTTATCTCTAACCCGAAATTTTCTATACGTCGGTATTTTATTTTTATGTTATTTTATTTTATAACTGAAATTTTCGGCAAATTTGTAGAAAAAACATTCGAATATTTCAAAACATTTTTCATCTCTATGTCAAGTATTGCATTCAATTACGTTTATAAATTATTATTTTCAATCATTCATTTTTATTTTTTGAAAAGAAAAAATTTTTTTTATTAATTCTCTATAGTTTTTTATTCCTTATTTGCAACGGCAATTTTCAGTAAAAAATACGGAGCAAGTACTTTTAAACTGTGATCGCTGCTTTTGACAGATAATAATAATTTACGATATACCATTTTCACACTATTTCATGAAATTAAGTTTAAAATATTTTTCAATCTAAGCACTATTAGTTCTTAACTACTTATCTTTATTTATTGCTTTTACTAATGATCAGGAAATTATTATTAATATTTATTTATCATTAATTCTTTTTCTTTATTATTTTTTTCTATCTTAGATCAGCTAATGAAGAAGATTCTACGCAACAAAATAATTGGTCTGAACACAATCAAGACACGGTAAAAGCATCGGATAATGAAGAAGATGGCCGATAAATAAAAACACAAGAACAATTAAACATTTTTCATACGAATTCGACTATTATTTATTCACTCAGCTTTTTATGCAAACAAATACAAAGCATATATTATTAGTCAGTTAAATTAAGCATTAAAAAACAATGAAAAAACTTTTCTTTATTTTCTTCGATTATGAGAAAAAAAAATTTTTTTTGTTAATTATGGACATCTCTATCAAAATTAAATTTTTAATTCTTAAAATTATTTTTGGTAATAAGCATGTCTTTTATATCATACGATTTATTTTATAACACTAAAAAAAAAAATTTTATAAAATTCATTTTAATTGTAAAAAAAAAAAAAAAATAATAATAATTGAAGAAAATGATAATGAAAATTTTTTCAAAAACAACCTCGAGACGTGACAGCTTTGTCTAAAATTCTAATTAAAATAATAATGATAATATAATATATTTAACCTTTAATATTATAATTACCATTATTAATGAATAATTGTTATTATTACCATTCGATTAATGAGTATATTGATTATTTTAGCACCGCTATACAAGTAAATCTGTACATATTGTCTTTAATTTTGGCTTCAAAGCCAACTTTATTCATGTGTAAAGACATTGAGACATTTAAAAGTCTGTGTCTTTTTATTTTGTTTTTAATTAAATAATGCACGAGTGGAAGTACGATCCTGTAATTGTATGAGTGTCATTATGGCGAGAATAATTGGGCTAAAAGAAGATAGAAGCATTATTACTCTATATGTGATTCAGAAATTGTTTAAATTTTAATGGCATTAATTTAGTGCCTCAATATAAAAAATTGTATAATCCTTTTTAATATAAAAAAAACTCCATTTTTATTGTGTAACTTTTCTTCGTTTTTTCGTTAATGTATACTTTTTACTATTTTTTCCGAAGTGAAAAAATAATAAAATTTAGAATGGTAGATAATGGTAGAAATGAATAAATGAGTCAAGTATGCGTATGATGAAAAATCAATTGCGCTTCAATTGTAAGTGAGAATGAGAGGGAGAGAATGGCAAGTAGGAGGTGAGAGAAAAAATACAAAAACGGATTTGTCTGTATGTGAGAGAAAGGAATAATATAAAAAATAAAGAATGAGTGAGTGAATAAAAAGTGAAAAAGAATGAGAGAAAAAGAGAGAGAGAGAGAGAAAGGATGAAAAATACGATAAAGGAAAAGAGAGGAAGCAAGAAAAAGTTTAAAGATTTATTTAATCCGTTCCGCTCACTAGCCGCATTGATGTGATTCAATTTACATTACGTATGCTGATATAACTGTAACTGTATTCATAGAAAGAAATATGATTATACAAGAAAATTTGATAATACGATGATCATATAATGATGTGGAAGAGAAAGGAGAATATAAAAAATACAAGAAAATATATGATAATGCACGCGCACGATAAAAGCCTTGCTGCTAGCCTTATAATTGTAACATGAGATTTGAATAAAAGGATAAAAATGAATGTTTTTATTTCAATCATAAATGCGTAAAGGAATGTATCTTCCTTCTACCTTACATAATTTTATTATTTTTTTTTTGAAATTTAAAAGATTCATTAGAATTTAGAAACTGGCAGCTTTTGAACAAAAGTACCTAAATCTCCAGTTAGCAAACTTCATTAATGAATTTATTTTTTATAAAAGAAAATATTTTTTCAAGTTTTTTCCTATTATTTACTCTTTAAACAACTTTTACAATAAGTAGTTGTGTTGGAAAAGTTGATTTTTAACTTCCCAGTGGGAAGTTATAGTAATGGATCCGATTTTGCGAATCTCGAATATTGACATCTCTCCATGTTTCAAGGCCCCCAGAGTTGAATATGACATTTTTCCAGTGGACTTCTGTGTATGTAATCTTATCATTCTTTCCGCTGGGAAGTTAGTCGTGTGGACTTTTTGGGTTGCACCCAGACCTCTGCAGAGCATTGATATTTCTTAGTTGTTATTGGTTCTAGATTATCGAGAAGATGTGCTGTGTAATATTCTTTAGACAAATCAAGAAATCGTCATTGAGAATGTCATATTTTTTTCATTGTAGTGTGAATATGATTAACCCCTAAAGTCCGCTCACGTGTTAATCGCAAAGCTTGAGCGAACCAATCATAGATCCCGGTGGAAAAGCCGCGTGTCAAGGGTCGTTAGCAAGATTACATAATGCCTCATGAGCATACACTTCGAACTAATGTCTCCCACGAGTCATAAAAGCTATTACGTTACTCCAATGCTTGAAATTTGTTCTGTTATATTCAGCTTTCGATCATTATCCTTACCGAAACTTTTTTATCACTAATTACTGTAATTACTAACTAATTGTTCGTCTAATTTATTATTTCCATTGTGAAAACACTGCTTATATCAATTTCCACTGGCTTTTACAATCCATTAAAAACAGTAAATTACTTTCAACTTTACAAAAAAAATTCTGTTAATGAATATTTCATTTAAATATTGTCATGATTTAATATCAGACAAATACTTGATGTAAAAAGCTCCTGACATGAGTTTTATTTAACAGAGATTTTAGAATTGAAATACGACGCAAGTTAGTAGAAAATGGTTTTTTAGCATGCTCTTTCAAAAGTAGAAAACAACAGCGATAGTGTGATTTGCTTGAAAGAAAATCCCTGAATAGCCCTTAGGCTCTTACCAACACATCATTTTCTACTGTATAAAACTTGTAATATGAATCATGGCGCGATGCGACTGTGCAACTTCCCTTACTAACGTTGTGTTATTTATAACCCCTATTCTAAATCACTCGAGCCATTAAAGTACGATACGTTCGAAGGAATGTTTCTCACTTTTGCACTTTCTGTATTCCTTTGTTTTTCATTACAAAAATATGTATTATCTTTTCAACTAAGGCTATTTATCATTTCTCTTCTTAAAAAAAATATTCTGATTATTAACATTTCACTTTTTAATCTGGTCGAATTTAGTCTTATGCTGGCCATACTTTGTAATATTACATTTATTTAGTATTTTAAAAGTTATTAATGCTAATATTAACTACTTTTTTAAATTTCTAAATAGCTCCTAATGTAATAAGTTTTCAATATTCAATAATATTAGCTGCTTTGAAAAATAATAAAAGATATCGTCGTAATAAAAATTTTATGAATTTAGATATTAGTTTAATTATAATTATTATTAAATCTAATGTAATACATTTAAATCTTAAGCTTCGAAACACTCAACAAAGATTATGCTCTGTTGCTTTCTAACTTTATCGAAACAAAGATATTCCAAAAGTTCACATCCTTCCGAGAGCGAGCCAACAAGCCGTTGAAAGCTCAGTTGAAATAATTTCAATTTAATTGTCACGTTGGTATTTCAAAATAGATTTTGCAGTTGTTATTCATTTATCAATTTTACATTAAATTAATTGTAATTCAAGTAATGATTATTCAATAGATCATTATTAAGTGGTCTATAGATTGAGTGAATTTGCAATCTATTTAAAACCATGTCTGACGAAATCTTTTCTTGAACTACTTACAACTTCTCAATTTTCTCTGGCAATTTCATTTCAATTATTGGATCTTCAATTGAATTTAACAACATTTAATGGAACAAGATTTAATAGAAGAAACAAAGTGTTTTAGACGATTGTAATAAACCAAATAAATAGAAAACCAATATTTAGATATTAAACTAAATGACAGTTTGTTGTTTTACTATTATCATCAATAATGTAATATCCTTTAAATTAATGCTTGACATGTAAATTGTCATCAAACATTTAGGAAACTGTACTTCAACTGAAATTTCGATCTTTGAGACATTCAGCGTGATTGATCCGTTTCACATTGAAATTAGCAAAGTCTGGTTTGCTCTAGATACAGTCAGTTGAGTTGATATTTTATGTACTAGATTGCTGCTATTCACCAAGTATTTGTAATATCTATCATTGATTATAGAATTCTAGAATAAACAACTCATTTCATGACAAATATTTAACACTCTGCAACTAGGTTATTTACAACATATTTAAAAATAGATTAACATTTCGAATAAAAAATTATTTATTTAGATTAACTTTATGTGCAATATAATGCTTGAAGAATTCAATAGAAAATATTGCTTTTGTTTAGATGTTTATTACCATGGGAGATCTAGGTGGTTAATGTAGTAAAATAAATTTTTTCTACCATCCTAAATTATTCTCTGCATGCTAAACAGTAGCCAGCAATATTTTCCTGTTTAAGAAATTATTCTCGCGACTAACGAAAAATATTAGAATTCTGATCTCAGGATTTCTCTAATAACATAAAGTAGTAGTAAAACATGAGCCATTTGCGTGCTGATCATCAAACGTTTCCGTCTTACAAATATAAGGCAGATCCATATACCAACTCGAGTCTCTATAATTAAGGCTATTCGTTATGCACCAAGTGCAATATTTGTGCAGCACCTGTATATAGTACTTACAGTCCGGACTTTCCTGTAAGCACTCTAAAGCGAGGTTATTCGTGACGGCTTAATGACTGCGTGGAGGATTTTATAATTGTGTATATAGTCCATTGTAATTCGTGTCAAAGTTCCGAGTGTTCATTATCTAGACGAGTGGTACACCTATACGTATGTGCAAAGTGTATGTATGTAAATATTTGCTAACTACAAATGTTGTTTAGGTAATCATTCAATGCTGATTGATGACCATCATTAGTATTTGCCATTATTTTCCCAAACTGTTGGTTTGTGGAATGAATATTAGTTTCTTGGACTTCCGAATAATTTGTGGAAATTCCATCAATATTATCCTGGAGATTATTCTTTTTTAATGCGAGTCATTTATTTGTTTAATTAAATATACATTATATTTATTGGTACATTGGTAAAAATGATTTATTTTAATTTATGAATATATTTATTTGGAATTCATTTTTATGAACCAACAGTTAATCATTTATGAATTGAAAAATTTGTATAATGGACTAATAATTTATTTATTTAATTTTGTAAAAGTTGCTCTATAAAATTTAGTGATCATTAAAATAATTTTTTATTATGCAACAAAAACATTTTGCTTCATTTTTCTGTTAAGAATAACTTGAAAACATTTTTACATTGTTCTAGATTTTAAATGAAATATTTGTTGCCAGCTTAAACAGAATATTAGTGAAAAGAATTTTCAGAATGCTTCATTATTAAGAATCGTATATTTTTTATTTACAAAATATACCTATTTATACTCAAGGAAAATATGCTTTTGTTAACTTTTTTTGCATATGTTAAGAATTCAAAGATGTAAATATCTTAGTATCTTTTATTGGCAACTTTAAGGTATATTAGATTTGCAGTTGAGGATTGAAGGAAAATAAAGTGTGAAAAAATGTATAAAAACTTGAAGTAGTAAAACATAAATAGGTATGAAAGGGTTACGAAAGGACGCGATAGAAATATGTTTCTATGTATATGTAGTATAAAATAGGAAAAAGTAGCACGTACTATTATATGCTATAAGCGTAATATCTACTTGAAATGTTTGAGATTTAGCCTTTACAAATCACATATTTGTGAATCGTAAAACGGATTTTCTCTATTTATTTCAAGTTGGAAAATTCACTCTAAACAGACTTTTTGAAAAGCTTTACATTTAAATGTTCTCTAACGTTTTTGAAAAAAATATAATTTATTTAAGTATTGATTTTTACATTAATTTGTTTTTTAATTTTATTCTTCAACAGATTGTATTTTTTTAAATTCTTAAATAGAACATTAGATGTCAAGACCATTCTTGTGATAAATAATTATTATAAAAAAATTTATTTTCTGAAATTTATTTTAGTAATATTGCTTGAAGCCCAAGGGAATATTTTCAAGCTCAGCGAGGTGAAGGCTTTTTAAAAACGACAAGAAAAATAAGTAAAAGAAGCGAGGAAAATCGAAAATACTGAGAAGATGGACCTAGGGACCTAGGGACACTTGCAAAAGGAAATTGACTGCAAAAAAGGTACAGGAGTATACCGTCTTTTTACCATTATTATGTCTATGAAATATCAAAAAATATTTTACTAAAAATTTTTCATCTTTTTTTCAAGTCAACTTTTATCTACCTAGAATAATAAAATGCTTTTCGTTTAAACAAAACTGAACTTTTGACTGAAAAAATAAAAAAACTCTCTTTGCTTAAAGATATTTGGAAAATGTAAAAACATTTGAGTTAAACATATGTAACGCAGGAAAAATCTTTTTGAAGATAAAAAATTGTTAGATAAAATCTGGGAAATTAAACGGAAAAAGATGAATAAATAAAAGTGTTTAAAACTATTTAAAAATGAAAAAAAATACAAAAAATAGTTAAAAAAGAATGTAAAGCTTCAAAAGTTGGAAAATCTTGTGGCATATCCTCTCGAGAATTTTGGATGTCCAAGAGGATGAGTGAGGGTGCTAGGGGGTTAAAGAAAAGGGGCAGAGAAGCAAGAGGAATAAAAGACGAGATGTAGAAAGAAACATGGCA